AACGACACATAAAATATTAGGCCACAGTATAGCTTAGTTGCAGACAAATGGGATTAGTGTAGGTTGGTGTTTGTTGTTTGGCATAGACATGATGGACCGAAGGGTCTGTTTCTGTGTTATATGACTCTATGGCTTTATTGAGCTTCTGTTCGCGGGAACACACCCAGAACTCACCCTGGGGGTAAGGGTGGATTTTAGTTGAATCCTTACCCTTCGCTCTTTTGCTTGGCATGATGAGCGGCAAATTCATGGATAGTAACAAAGCTGCACTCGCTGTTTTCTCCCACTGCAAATCTCGAATCTTAAGATTATCGATTATAAAACCAAAGCTGACAGGCATGAAAGAGGGCAAAGCCCAGGAGACAGAACATGAACTGCATTTTAGGTGTAAACCACTGTCGAAGATGTTGCTTCAAACGTCCTTTAAGTTCCAAAAATAGTATATTCTTCATAATTGTTTGCTCAATAACAGCGGATAATTTTCCTTATATTATGACAGCTGTATGGATCATTTCGAAAAAAAATGGAATAATTTGAATGAAACTCATCTGGAAGCCAGATCATGAGATTCATGACAACCAGTGCCCCAGCGATTTTACTAGTGAAATTCCAGAGACGTTATGGGGCTCAAATAAACCAAATCCAAGATAAAATTCCGAGATTCAGGGTTACACTGCCACCTGCAAATTAATATCCAAGTTAGATATCATTCCGAGTTGTGCTGGAATGCTAGAAATCACACAACCCACCCCACCACCCAAGCCTCCATCCAACAAAACTGTCGATGTTCCTACTCCCATGTACACTAGGGCCTCAGGAAGGCAAATCGCCAACGCCTCCTATGGGAAATTAGGAATGAGAAATAAATGGTGATCAAACCAACAGTGTACATGTGCCAGCAAGTAATGAATTAAAACAGTAGGCATGCATTTCAACGCAGCTCCGTGTACGTGAAGTGGAAAAATCCACCCCAAATGATCGTTTGTGTCAGCCCATTTTGAAATGCTCCCAGTCAATCTGAGCTCGCACATTCCCTATCCATCTCATTGCATTCTGTGTGCACAAGACAGTGAGATGAGACATGACAGAAGACTGTTGAGGGTAAAGATTAGAACCAGCATCTTCAAATCTCCAACTCTCTGACGCTCCTTTCACAGATCAGTACAGTGCACCTGGTGAGGGTGGTGCGTTTCTGACAGGTAATTGTGACGAAACACATTCCATCGTTTCTCTCATTTCCCGAACATAGTTTGAATCTAACTTTGAAAGACCCACCACTCTGATCTTTTCCTCATTAAACATGGTGCTTTTTTAATAGATCTGGGCGATGGAGATTCTATTACTCAGCCGCTACCCTCAGACGTTTAGACAGAAAAAGAAGCGTTTATTTTAAGCTGTTCCCTGGACGCCACCTGGAGCGACGATTATTTATTCTGGTAACGATAATATCCAGACTCACAGCCTGAGTTTATCGTCAAAAATCACACGACACAAGGTCATAGTTCAACAGGCTTGTTTGAAAACGGAAGTTTTCAGAGTTCAGCTCCTTCCTCAGGCGTTCTGTGAGAGAGACGGTGTAAGACATAGAATTTATAAACACAAAGGTAAAAAAAACCCTAAAACTGGACGCCTCTTTTTGAATCTTTAATCAGTTAGGAAGGAGACTACTAAATGCAAAATTCAAATTCTTCTCAAGTCATTTTCCCAAGGTAACTAAAGTTTTATCAATGTATACAACAGGTGATATCTCAGGTCAGGCAACACATTTTAGGAGTGAGATCTTGCTTAGAAGCTGTCTATATTTTGTAGGTATTGCAGGCATTACCATGTCAGGGTTCTGTGGTGTTTTGGTCGATGCCGTCTTGAAGGCTGGACGATTTGCTGCGACCAGTGGTCTGTTTAATGTTTGATGGTGAGAAGTAGAGGCACAGGGAAGATAGTGGTGAGGTATTCATCGTCGTAGATAATGTGTTGAAGGCTGCCAAAAACATGGCGTAGTTTTGCTTTTCACTTCGGGAGATACTGGAGGACAAAGGGAACTCTATCAGTCATAACTCTTGTCTGTCTTCTGAAGAGGTCATTATGTTATTTTTTTGCTGTGGCATAACGGAGTTGGCGATCGCTGAATTGAACATTGTAACCTCTTCTTATGAGGGCATTATTCAACACCTTCAGGAATCCGTCGCGTTCTCCATCATCTGAGCAGGCCCTGTGTATGCATAGGACTTGTCCAAAGGTGCTGGCATTTTTTAATATGTTCAGGGTTGGAGTAGAGAAGTGCAGCATCGTGAGGTTATCCGGGGGCTTACGGTAGAGTGAGTTACTGATACGTCCGCCCTTGATGGACAGACCTGTGTCGAAGAATGAGATTGATACTAAAGAGTCGTCCATGATAAGTCTAGTGGTGGGATGAAACTTGTTTTATATAGATATGTGTGTGTGTATATATATATAATACATATATATATATACATACACACATATATAGAATCTCTACATTGTGGAAACAGGCCATTCGGGCCAACAAGTCCACACTGCCCATCCAAAGAGCCTCCCACCCAGACCCATTCCTCTACCCCTACTCCTGCATTTTCAATGTCTAACCCACCTGATCTACACATCCCTGAACACTACAGCAATTTAGCGTGACTAATCTACCTAACCAGCACATCTTTGGACAGTGGGAGGAAACCAGAACACCTGGAGGAAACCCACGCAGACACGGGAAGAACATGCAAACTCCAGTCGCCTAAAAGTGGAATTGAACTCAGGCCCCTGGTGGTGTGAGGCAGCAGTGTTAACCACTGAGCCAACGTGTGGCAAATCACAACATGGCACTTGAGAGAAGTTCAAACGTGGCTTGGTGGATATAAAGCACAGATACCACTGAGTTTTAAACCCAGGATCGTTTGTTTACTAGACAGGCGCGTTAAACAACGAAGCCATGGCGCTGCGCAGCAAACTCACGATGTACTTGCTTCAGTGACTCCTCGCCATAAGACCAAAAGAAGAAAATTTCATCAATGTATCTAGTTTATAGCATTGGTTGGAGGTCCTGCGTAGCCAAGAAGTCTTGTTCGAACTGACGCATGAAAATGTTGGTGTATTTGAGTGCAAAGTTTGTCCCCATGGTTGATACGTGTGTCTGAATGAAGAACGTGTGTCTGAATGCCCATGGTGAAGATGTTGGTCGAGAATGTCGAGGATAAGTTGCAGGAGGGCATCTGGAAAGTGACAGTTGTTGGTGTCAAGTACTCAGGCTGCGGCAGCGATGCCGTCGTCGTGGAGATGTTGATGTAGAGTGCCAAAACGTCCATTGTAACGAAGAGTGTTTCTGGTTCAAACGGTCTGTGGGTGCTGGGTTTCTGTAGTAAATCTGTGCTGTCACGACAGAAGTCGGAGGTTCTTTGTAAAGTGGGTTTCACGATGTCCTCGATTTAGACAGAGAGGTTTTCAAGAAGGTTCTCATTGCCTGAAACGACGGGACGTCCAGTTGTGTTTGCTTTGCGAATCTTCAAAAGGCAGTACAAGTTCCCTATGCAGAAAGTACGTGGAATGAGAGTGTGTCAGGTATTTTGCAAAAGTTTTGATCAGTCTGTTGATTTCACGGGTGTGTTCTCTGATCGTATCGACAGGTAGTTGCCTGTGGTGTTCCTGTTGTTCACATGCAAATGTACACCCACCCTCTCACACAAACTGACTGAAACACACACACACTCGCACACTTACACAGACCTTTTCTCTCACATCCACTCTCCCTCTCTTTTTCTCTCCCTCACATGCGTGTGCGCACACACGCAAACGGAAAGGGAGCAAGAGAGAAAGGTGGACACATACACACACACATGCACATACGCCAACACAAGCACACATATGAATTATTTCATACAACATGTTAGTGCTGTTGCAGATACATTCTGATTTGTTCAAAACTAAAACTGACCCCAGTTTAAAACATAGAGAGGTTCTAAGCAAGAATTCGCACCTAAAATGCATTGCCTGACCTGAGATGTCACCTCTTGTATACATTGATAAAATCTTGAATTATCTTGGGCCAATGAATTGAGAATAATCTGGATTTTTCATTGAATCTTTAGTCTCCTTCCGAACTGATTAAAGATTCAACAAGAGGCGGCCAGTTTTAGTGTTGTTACCGTCTGCTTATAAATTGTGTGTCTTATATCCTCTCCCTCAAAGTACGCCTGTGAAAGGAGTTCAGATTGGAAAGCATACATTTTCAAATAAACCAGTTTAACTATAATGTTGTGTCTTGTGATTTTTGACCTAGTCCACCTCAGCTCAGCACCAGCAACTCCACATCATGAGATTATTGTGTGGAGACATTCCCTTGATGCTGAATAAAGAGCAGATTTTGTTGAAACTTATTTTCAGCTCCAGACAGTGAGTAAACGCAGTAGTTGAGCTAACTTGGGTCCGAAGTTGACTGACTCGCCAGTGAGTTATTGAGGTCTCAGACTCCTTGATGGAAAGCTTTTTGTACTGATTACATTTTTATTTAAATCTCAGATTCTGTTGTGCTGCATTTTTAAAGTTAAATCACGATTGACACTTTCTGCTTATCTTACACTGGATCCTGTTTGATTTATCATTGCACTTTCTCATATTTTCGTTCATAAAATACGAGCTTTTATCTCGATTTGTGTCACAATGGGCAATGACTCAGTTACTTGCATGATAGATCGGCTAAAATCCGTTGAATAAAACAAACATTGCTTCAATCAATTTTACAGAAGACAGTGTTTCTGTTTATTTAATACTGGTCGCCATGTTCATTTATAGTATGCCTGCAATTATGGAAGACAGCAATGTTGGTTTTGGTGGTGACATTAAAAATCATCAAGCGAATAAAACGTATAGAATTCCTAATACCACTGTTTGCTACTCCAAGTTGTCTGTTTAAATTGCATATTAACTGTTTCGGTGTTGTAAAATTACATTTTTTGAACATTGCACATGGTTGACACAGAATAATTCCCTTTTCAAATTTCGAATCGTTTCAGAAGTCGAAGCAGTGGATATTTCAGCCCATTCTTTAACTCGACTCTGAATTCATTTTGGGTTCCAGCATAAATAAACGGGTTGATGCAGGAACACAAAAATAAAATCATAAATGCGCTCCCCTCAAGGATAAATATCGATTGACTGAAATCTGAACCTGAGAAATAGGTAACTTTTGCAATTCGCACATACAGGATCGTTATAAAAGATAAAAAATACAACAAGAGGAAACTGCCTGAAATAGCAAAAAGTAAAACGATGGACTTTCTCCGCTTTTTCATTTCTGCATCACTCTGATTCTCTCCTTGACTCTGGGCCCGGAGTCTCCTGCGGGCTCCATTGGCCACGATAATGTATCTAATGGTCAAAGCATTGAGCAGTAAAATCAGAATGAATGGGAGAAAAGGATTGAAAATGCCACGAAATAAGTCATATGCTGCCCATGCAGGTGACATATAAAATATTAATTTTATATTGCAGAACCAGGGTACATTGTTAAATGTGTACACAGGTTCATATATAAAATACAAAAACGCGTTTTTTATACTGCACAATGTAGACACGATTCCAATGACCCATGCTGCTGTCTTTTTGGTGCAATATTTTGTTTTCAGCTTCTGACAAGAAATCACCACAAATCTATCAAAGGTGAAAGTGACAGTCAACCAAGCAGAGCTGTCTACGGCAGTGGAATTTAAGACAGCACGGAGACGACAAACTGGAGTAGTAGACAGGAAACTGTATGGAAAGTAAATCCCAGCAATCCGGTTTAATATTACACAGGTGACCAGGACCAGGAGATCTGTCACTGCCATGGACACAAGGTAATAGATCGTACACCCAGACAGACCACATCTTCTTCGAGACAGGATCGCAATCACTGTCAAATTAGCTGCCACAGGCGGGTGGAGGAGGGGAGAGAGAGAGTTTGTGTTTTATAAAGTGGAAGAACAGGCAAATTACTTCTTCAACATTCAATAATTTTGTTCATTTTCCTGGATATTTCTTGAAACATATAGCTCGGTAATATTTATACATTGCACCATATGCAAAAGTTACTGCATTTAAAACACATTGCTTATTACTGTCGTAAGAATATAAGATATTCTGTGTTGGATTTATTTTAGCCAAGAACAAGAATAATCATGTGTCATACTTGGACTAACATTGATCCGTTCGGTGAATCAGAGAAATAAAAAAAAAAATTATAGAAAATACTGCAGTGGTGAAAGAGCAAAACGATCATCAACGAGTGTGGAGGCTGACAGGAACACGGTTTACACTTCATTCAGGATCAAATACGTCACCTTCTGATGAAATGCGATGAAATTACTAACTGTTATGAATGTCAGCAATTGATTTGCTAAGATGCATGCTGAAACAGAAGGAGGTGAGTGGCCAACTTACGTGTCTCTGAGGTTGGGAAGGAAATTTGGGCAGCATGGAATTGTAATACCAAGTTCTGTGGCCGATAATCACAAGCGACTTTGGTTTGCAGTCCTGCCATGCCAGGAATCAGTCTGGTAAACCTGCCTTATCTGAATTGCTTCCAAATTAATTGTAAAGCTGCATAAATCAGGAAGCAGTAGTTTACACGTCGTCTCATTATGCCGTACTGCAGTACATTTGAATTCAGTTTCTCTTGCAATAAACGGTAATATATATATCCACTTCGCCAGATACTTGATGCAACTGATTACTGGCATTTTGTGATCCACGTACGAGGGAGCCGTCTCAGCACAGAGTTCTGCAATTTTTCATCACATGAACGCACTGCTAAGTTTTTATCCTTTCTTCCAAAATAGGCATTTTCACATTTAACTCGCATTACACTCCAGTTATCACAGTTTTGTCTATTCACTTGACTTTTTTTGTTTCTTTTGTAACCATCTTAAGTTGCCTTCACAACATGCATTCAAACCTGTTTCTGTGGTTCATCATATTTGGCAACCATACCTTCTTGCCTGTATCCAAGACAATCTTAAACATTGCAGGAGATCAAAGCCTTAAACTGCATCCTGTGATACGCCACAATTTGCATCTTACCACATCTTAAAAAAGTAATTTTTGCCGACTCTTTGTTTACTGTTCACCAGCTTAGCTACTTATGCAAACACACTATTTCTTACACCATGGCAATTTATTAATCTCATTAACCACTGAGATGGTACCTCACCAAAATACATTTTGAAATCTATGTGTACCCACATTTTCCCCTTTATCCACACCTCGTATTGCGATTTTAAAAAAAATTACACGAAACGTTAATTACGATCTCACTTTGACAAATCATGTTTATGCTACCCGATTGCTTATATTTCAATAGACCTGTTTCGAACTCTTTCCCTTTGAGAGGTGAATAAGCTTGTAGTTTCCTGTTTTCTGTAGGGCTGTAGTTTCCTGTTTACTGTCTCACAACTATGTCTTGAATATAGGCCTTAATTTCGCAATTTGTAGCGCTAATTAAATCTTCACTAAATGCAGGGAACTCTGAAAAATTAGATTTTATTCAACATTTTCTCTGCTAAAAATCCGACAGAATTTCTCATATTCCTACGTCATTAACAAGCACATTTTTTCAGCTAAAATGGAACAGTTTGTACTGCAAGAATTTTGTGGCAATTGCCCCTTAAAAGCATTGCTAATAACCTAGCACAATTGCAATCAACTGAGACAACTATAACACAAATCCCCACAAATGACAGTGAATGAAAGAATATATCCATGTTTTTGTATTGAGTTGATAATGACAAATGGGAAAATTATTAAACTGAAGTGGCATCTGTCACAGAAAGTCACACAAACATTGAAGAGGTAAATTAGGCAGGTCATGAGAATAAACTGCGTGTATCTGTTGCTGGAATGCCACGTTAACTGAAAGAGACTAAAATATTTATATGGAGAGAAATCATCTCTGTCAATGACAAAAATTATAAGATGAACTGGTGAGGTAAAACGATAAAAGTAGAACAATGACGGTCTAAAAAGAAATAGATATAATATCAGTTAAGGAGGCAAATTGTACCATTGAGTTGATGGACGTAGCTCGGTAAAAGGAGAAAAGATGTATATCATGGAGATATGTTAGTAGCGAAATGCAGAACTGATGCAGTTGACCAATGATCCATGCAACTACAGCTGAAGTTCTATACTTCACCTGGCACTCCAATTGTTGCAATGACTGGATAGTAAACAGCAAACATCAGACCTTTCGGTATTCCGTGCATTTCGAACAAAATCTTCGGTGTATTATGCACTTCACAGAAAAAAGGATCATGTTTATAGCTGGCGGCCGGTCTGCAGGGAGGTAATTAGATGTTTGATCTTTTACATTAATTACATTTAATGAAACAAAAGAGATCAGTGCAGCTGCTGTTCAACTGACGTTTCTGATGAGATTCGACTGATTGTTTGTCACAGCAAACACTGATACAATAAAGAATGACCAGAGACTGCAGAAATGTCCCAGTAACATTTCTTCATATGTTAGAAAGCTAATCAACTGGATTTCGGGCCAAAAAAGCCATACCTGACCAGTCTTGGAAGGATGAGTTGTCTTGGAATACATAAACTTCTTCTCACTCCTGACAAATATTGCAACTGTTAGATCACTCGCCTAATGAAACGTGATTTTGGCACGCTCTAACGCAACTGGTTGCGCCAAAATTGTCGATAGATCCCTCAAAGTAGTTACATTATAGGTGCACGAGCCCAGACTTCACGGATACCTAACCATACTTGGCCAGGTTTGTGCTGTTAACTATAAAGTGACAGGTCCAGAGTGTTGGATTCAGCATAAACTTGTCTAATTCAGAATAGTGACACTTCCCAATATATCCGTTTCAGCACATGCTTATGTTCAATAAAAACTGGTGCAATAGGTATATACAATTTCTCGTCAGCGTGGTTTTGTCCTCCATAAAACAGTTCAAGGCCCCATGCAGTCTGAAGCAAGTTGGCTCAAGCTTGGCTCGAATTCAATGTAGTCACATCCAATCGGGCTCTTTTAAAACAACAAACCCCAACTTGGACAAAAACTCCACCCTGCGAGGGAACTGCAACCTTCTAATCATTTACAGGAATTCATATAAAACTATCACATTAACGAGGACTTGGCAATTTGGTGAAATTTATTGTGACGTGCATTGAAGCTGGGTGAAAATAATTAGCATGTTTTTTGCCCCTTTAGTTTGAAGCATTCAGATGGAAAAGAAGAGAGTTATTATGAGTAACGACCTGGATGAGAAGGCTGGTCTCCAATGCACGAGCCCCATCTTTGAAGACCCTGATCAGGATGCTAAATAAAGAACTTCAAAACGTTGTGTGTAATATTGCTACGCGTGGTGTTCCATATCGGGCACCTCTGAACTCACGACAATTGTGTATCTACACCGTTTATCAAAGACTTAAGTATGATCTCACCCATAAAAAACTGGTAGTGATTCGATATAGTAGCTTGTGTTTCCTGGAATATCTGAAGAAAATATCAGTTAAAAGTCAAAGCCAGGAAATATCTGATAATCAATCTTCCTGGATCAAAGTTGTGCACTCTCATTTTAAAACTCTTTTGAACTCAGAACTGAGCCTTTCATACTCAGCAGCAGAATATAGAGCACTTTTCTATCATGAATGACGACACAGATATCTTGTTGACATTCAATTGACTGCAGAAGAATTTGGGAAAATATAGCAGGAGAATAATGCAGAAAAGAAGATGCTGAAGAAAAGCAATAGAGATCCGGCGGTGGCAGCGCAGCTCTCGGCCATGATTGGACCTGGGTACCTGACATCGGAGTGGCGACATTCTGCCTGTAGTGGTGTTCGATGACGCTCAAAGACTCCGTTCACCTGAGAATTCACAGCCTGAGGGGTAAACTTTGTAGTTTTGTTATTTTTCTGGCTGTGACATCTAATAGCAGAGGTGGGGGACTGAACTGAATGTTTCCTTTTCTTTGGCTGTTTCTTTTATTTCTGCTTCTGTTTTTATTCTTTTGTTTTGTACTTAGGTGGTGCTAGAGAATGGCAACTTTGAACGTTTTTAACTAAACTCCTCTATTGCTGTACTCAAGTACAGTTGGAAATCATATCCAAATCGAAAAAATTATGTCTAAATCATAACGATAGCTTTCTGCTTGAGATACTTCCTCTGGTTTCCTGCCATTGCAAAGGAAATTCTACACGACAAAGATGAAAACACAAAACTTCATTGAAACTATCCATGCTCCCCGCATCATAATAACATTCTCAATCTATCTACTGCCTACCATTCTTCTTGGTGCCCCATATGGAACAAGCTTCCTGGGCAAGCTCCACTAACAGTATCATTTGGATCAAAGTTTGAGAAAAATACCAGGCTGTCAATAATATGTCCCTTGTAAAAACTTCCATCTGGCAAACACAGGTTTTGGTCTATCATGACGAGCGTGGTCCGTGTTAAATGGGTTTAGGACATGCCAAGACCCCTGTACCAAAACCTCCACCACTGACGTCCAAGCACAAATCCTTGTTACACTTGTGAAGAGACACCTACAACACTATTCTTTACTGGGGAGATCCCGTCTACAAATTAAATGGTAGGATTTCCACCTTAAACTCGGAAAATAGTATATTGCTTGTCTCCAGGGCTTTTTATTTGTAAAGTGAACAACTATGCATCATTTTCCTTTGTTAGAAATCTTCATTCACGAACATTTCGAAATAATATCTGCAAATGTGATTTGGCAGGATGTACGAAGTGGTTAGTATATCCGACTTGATGCAGATTTGAGAAACAATCTGATCAGTCATGATCTTATTGAATGACAGAACAGACCTATTAGCGGCCCTCACAACCAGACAACGATACACACGATAATATCAACTGATACTGGCCGCTGTAGCAGTGCGGTGTTATTCTCCCAAATATGGCTACAAGTACATGGATGATTGTAAAATGTCGGTAATGCAGCGCAGTTTGATCTTAGAGTAGGATAATAGGTCGACACAACATCGTGGGCCGAAGGGCCCGTACTGTGCTGTACTGTTATATGTTCTATGCTTTATATTCTATGTACAAATCAAGTGACGGGTGCGCTTTATGTGATTTGTGCTGATCGTCATAAATACTGGGCCTCAGCCAATTCGATTTACTCTACATCACATCAAGTCTCTGGGCATCCCAAGAGATTTGAACCCTAACAGCAATCCAGTAATAGTGCTAAATAATTGTGCTCCAGAATTTGTTGCAGGCCCATCTCAGGTTATCAGTTCATTTAAACCATGTATGTCTGCCCGTCAACACTCATGGGATAAATAAACAACTTTTCACTATAGTTGATTTTTGAAATAAAAATTAGCATATAAGCATACCACTTAGGACAGTATTATGCTCTCAAAACCTGTTTCACGTATGCAGATATTATTCCAAAATGCTTCAGAATGAACTCGATGTTTATAGCAAAGGATCAAATGACACACGCCCACGTGTGCAAAGAGCATAGCTAAATCTTGGATTAGAAATTGTTCCACCAACTGCAGAGAGACGCTATCTATGAAATGTAAAATAGGACATGCTGTAGTGCGGTAATAACTGATGTAGAGCTCATTATAATCAGAGCTGCCACAGCGGTTGAGTCATATGAGAAGTCACACAGTTTAGTGCTGCGGTCACAATGACGCCCCGACCTAGCATAATGTTAGCTCAGAAATCGTCGAGTGCAAATGCTGGTATCTGGTTAAATGGAAACAAAGCCATGGCATATTGCCATGTCCTTGTGGCAGGGCAATCTTGTCATACAAACAGAGGTATGGTCATGTAAAATAATCATTTTATTATGGTGCCAAGTCAACTTTAATTCAGTGATATCAAAGTAATATATTGAGTTCCAGTCCCGCAATAGCTGAGACAAAGTTTCATCTAACACAAAGAATAATCTGTTTTTTTTGAGAAGTTAACCGAATATCTATTGTCTTTCTGGGTCCAAGTTCTTACTCTGTCTTTGCAGGTGTGAACGTTGGATAAGGTATATGGAATAAAAGAATAGGAATCGTTCCCCCGCCTCATTCCGATGGTAGAAATTAACGCAGCGCCACTGACAGACTGAAAAAGACTATCCCCATCTGTTGTCTTTCAGACAAACCTGTGAGTCGTATTTATATCGGGGTCACGAACCATGTGTTTGCATACAAAGCTAAGTTATCTCTCTTTCAACCTGTCAGCATTCAAATAACATAGAGTCAGTGATCTGGGAACCATACCATCCATGAATGACCTCACAGAATTTGCTGGTGGAGATCAGCTCGATCCTTTCAAGTACTTCAGTCCAGCTCCGAAGTCCAGTCTCCCAGAACAGTTCAGGCCTGCAGTCCCCAGCTGCCCGTCATATAAACCATCAGCTGCAAGCGACGGAAACATGGGAATCTTTGTTCTTTTCGCTCTGTGTATCTGATTAATCCGTGAGTACCTATGAAGCAAAAGACTGCTCTTTTGATTCAATGTAATTTTGCCCACGACCATGCCATTGCGATGTCGCCGCTGGGTTAGCGCACTTTGTTGTTTTGATTTGCTCTGGTTGCCCACTAAACTTCCTTCTGTTTAATTTCCAGGATCTGTCAGTCAGTTAGTGAGTCAGAGCCAAAAAACGGTCATCAGGAAGGAGTGGCAGTCTCTCGCCATCGTTAGTGTTTATGATAGCCACATCTGGGGTTTTCAATGAATGAAGAAGAAATGACATTTTCACTGGATATTCGGGATGTAAGAATTGAAGACACCGCCACAGATGAATTGTAAAGCTCGTTTCGATTGCTATAACACGCAATTTAGAATACCTCAGTATATGAAACCTGAACAACTGCAGTACAGGTACAATTAAAATATGGTGCTTGTGGTTCCAGATTGTGAATTGCGTTCTTTCACATCTGTACATGTGGCACAATTTCCTTTCATCTTCCTTTTTGGTGTCGTAATTCTGTTATTCTTTTATATTTTCATGATGCACAAAACTACGATCCATGTTCCTGGGCCATCTCGCTAACAACTCAGAGTCTCAGAAATCAAAGTTTGAGCTAATAGGATCTGAGAAATATGGAATATTGTTAATTGATCCAAATCTTAGGAATATTAGGCAGAACCAATTATCTTCTCACATTCAATCGTCAGACTAAAGTCCCGACGATTCTTGTACTGGGTGACTGAGAGCAGTGTGACTGTGATGGAAAATTGATACTGTGAATGGATCTGGTACCGTTG